TCCTGCCCCGAGCCCAGCCGCCTCCCGCTAAGAGCGCGCCCCGAGCCGCCCTCGGGGGCGGTCCCGCCCGGGCTCCCTGCGTTCGCGGGGACATGCGGCTTTGAGCGGGGAGCCTCACGCCAGCCTCAAGCGTCTTCTCTGGAGCGGCGGACATGGGCCCTCCGCGGAGCGGGGGAGCTCCCCTCGTCCCTCTCCTCCCTGCCCTGGTTCCTCTGAGATCGGCGGGCGCTGACGGTGCCCGGGATCTGGCGGGATCGGACCCGTCTAGGTTAGAGTGGGGCAGGTGATGGTCCCTCCCTTGCTGAGGTGCCGGCCTCGCCTCTTGCAGCTGCCTGGAGTTTCTTCTCGTTGAGACAAGAGTTCTAGCTGTGGGAGCACAAGGGCCGAACAGGCTGCTCCGAGACACAGGAGAAGGGACGCAAGGGACTGCCAGGAAGATCGTCATCCCTGCAGCGCTGCTGCTAGAGTTAGAAACCTGCTGCCTCTCCTCTCTTTCATTTGATCTCCTGGAGAGGAGAGGTGAGTTGTCTTTCCCTCTTGTACTGTAGCAGTGGAGAAAATAGGCTAGCTTGCAAGCTGCAGAACTTGTTCAGGATGGCTTCAAGCCAGCTGACTGCTTGGTTTATTTTCCTTGAGAGTCAGCCCTGTGAAAAGGCCCACTGATGGAGTAAGAGATAAGCACCGTGTTAATTGCGCGGTTCTCTCTCCTTTGCTGCAGTGCCCACTTTCATCGCTGTCTCCTGCTCTGCCTGCTCCTGCTTTCAGCATGGTAAAGAAGAATACTATCCCCGATGGGTAAGTATTCTTCCCACAAAGCGAGAGGCAGGAGCGGGCACAGTCCTGCCCACAGAGAAGGGGCACTGACTGCCCCAGGTGCTTTCTTGCCGCAACCATCTTCACCACCTACAGCCAGGTAAGGTAGGTATCTTCTCCAAGACAGGAACAAACCAGCCCTTCATCCCCCAGGTGAGTATAATGCTCCAGCCTGTCTGTGAACACTTCTTCAACAGCCAAACACAGTCCCTTCTTCCTAACCTCCTTATCCCCACGTGTGTACTTACTGGGGAAATGGGAGAGTAGACCATCCTTCTGACTACTCAGATGTTTGCTACCAGGAGTAGAGGAAGATCTGATAAGATTGCAGCAGGTGGTTGCATGCATGCGATCAAGGAGTATTTTCATGGATTCAGATCCAGAAATATACTGTGGTTTTGCTCTTAACAAGAGAACAACAAAAATGTTTTATCAGCAAAAATAATAATAAAAAACCCCAAATGCAGCATACAGGCTTTCCAGTGACTTGGGAGTGCATATGGGGACCACAGAATGATCTCATTTAAAACAGGTACAGTTCTACAGCTCTACTAAAAGAAAAAAAGTCCAAGTTTAGCAGTTTAACCCATGTGTTACTGCTGACATCAGTAGTAACTTCTTGGATAGGAGATGTGCTGACATACAAAGACACACTGCAGTGGGACAAATAACTTGCAGTTTATACATTATTTGAGAAAAGGTTAACATTATCCTGGCTTCAGAGGAAGTGTTAAATAAGTTTATTAAAAGCATTCTTAGATGGAACAATAAAATACAAAAAGCATTATTTCCTGCAAAATATGTTGATCTAAGAACAAATATAAACAAAAGATGAACAAAATTTTTAAAATAACCAAGAAACTTTGAAGTTTTCTTCATAGCTGACAAATTCAGGGGTTAGAATAAAATTTAAGAAAAGGTATTTAAGTATGTCTTTCTCTGAAAGTTTCTATGAAGTTTCAGTTAAAAGTTGGGCAGAGTTGAGCTAAAATGGATTAGGTTTGAAAGTAGTAATGCAGAAAGCCTGAAAGAGTAACAGTCCTCCCTGATTTCTCCATTCTTGGAAATTATTACTAAAACTTTGAGAATCAGCTGGTCATTTCTTCCTTCTTTTTCCACCTTGCATTTAAATAGGAGCAGCTTTGAGGCCACATGCATTTCTTAAGTATGGAAGGAGTAGTGCACTGTATTTTATGCTTCTAGGATTGGAAGCTAATATCTTTGTATGTTTCAAGGAGAGAAACATCAGTGTTACCCTCTCACAAAGCTCATGATTCTGAAGTGTTTTCAGCTTTTCCACATACAGGCTGGACATCCGCAGTACTGGGTTTGGAGTTGTAAAGGAGTTTAAGGAACTGCCAAGCTCTCAGTCTCAAGCAGCAGTGTATTGATGTCACCTTTATGCTAGCACAGCATGTTGTAGTTCTTCACTGTGAATTAGTTTAGTACACCAGGAAAAAACAGCAGTGAACCCTGGAAGAGAATGTAAAGAAAACGAATTTTAACCTAGGTGATCCTGCACATGCAATTTACTGGCCCCAGAAATAGTTGTTGGCAGAAGCAAGATTATGGTATACTAACTATAGTATAAGGACCAGTCCAGACAGTAGCATACTATGGAAGTAAAACCTCAATCATATCACGGTATTGTAATAGCAGTAAATCTAGCAGTAACTGGTTTGCTTTTAATGATGCTGCATAATGCTGTAGTAAACAAAAGAAAGTCACTCTACATAGACATCTTTTAAGATTGTCTTTCTGTTACTGCTTCAATTCATTATACTGTTCTTAACAGTTTTAATCCGAATTCCATTATGCTAATGAAAGCAATACAATAAATTTGAGGTTTCAGCTGAGTTACAGGTAGCTAGATATAGTGCAGCTAAACAAGAAATTGTGACATTTCTTGTCTGGTATTAACTACTATCACCTTTTACAATACAATGTCTGCGGTGTAATTAAAGTTGTATTTACATAAGGATTGTGCTGTAGGACTGTGTGGCCTGGCTACATATCAGCACTTTGTACTCAGCACCTAAAGTAATATTGAAGTGGTATTAATTGATGGTGTTGCCACTGGATCTGCGCTGCCAGTCTTGTACCTTGTTCTTGGACCACTCTTGTTCTCGTGTCCCTGTCACACTTGTGCTGTGTTTTGCAGTTCATTGATATGTAGTTTTTCATGTTTAAAAACGTACATAAACATCTTTGTTATCACATTTATTTTTTGGGTTTTGATAGCAAGATTTATGCAAAATATAGCTATTATAATGTTCTTTGCTTGGATTATTGCCTTGCTGTTCGGCATATCTTTGAAGCTTAAGAGGCTTCAGAATGAATACTAAATTTTGCCTTACTGAGTTTACTGTAAGCTTGTCTTTATCATGGGCATTTCTACAATGTCTTCTGTTATCCCGCTTAAAGCTAGAGACTGCTATGCAGGCCCAGTTCGTGATCCTCAGTTGATTGGTCTTGGAGCTGACTGTTCTTTAGAAGTGTTTTTCTAAGTTTTTGTTGCTGTTTGATTTTTTTTCTTTTGTCCTTGAACAGAGGCCATTTCACTGATTACGGCTGTTACAAAGCATATTCCTGCTAGATTCTTAGGTTAATCTAGACCACATATCTTTTAAACTTCTGCTAGGATGCATGAAGCTAGTTTCTTTGCTGTTGTTCTACTGAGTATCTCTGAAATTTTTAAAGAAAAAATAAAGCATGCATGCTTTTCATTTAAATTAAAATAGATAAGCAGAGTAATATATTTTCATGTAAACTAGACTTAAAAACCTCTAACAGATTAGCTAACTAGAGTCTGTAGTACTAGTTATTATTTATTTATTTAACTGGAAGCCATTCAAGCATCATAGAAATTTCAGAGGGAAAGGGGAATGATTTTTTTAGTTTAACACTTTTTCTCAACCAGGTTCTTTTGTTTAAAAGGACAGGCAGGCAAAATTCTGTCTGTGTTTTAAGATAATTGATGGTAGTTTGGGAGTGATGAAGACAAAACGTGATAGGGAAGTGGGAACTGCAACAGCTAAATAGTTAAATAATTGGTTAATTCATGTATTTTGTTGAGTTTCTGGTCTTGATCTGCATGTAGTTCATGGATTGTTTATGTGTTTGAAAACTTAGAAAAATAAAGCTGTAATTGAAAATGTGTCGTGTGTGCAGTATGTCACCTTTTATTTAAGTGATATTCTCTTTTAATTAGTTTTTTATTTGAACATGCAAATTCTGGATTTTATGGCTTTGAATAGTTTGAAGTTCAGAAAAATTTTAATTACCATATTGGGCCCATAAAGGTTTGTCACAGCTATTTTGATGCAAATGTTAAGAATTTGATTTGCAGATATTTTTACACACTTCTTGAGATTCTGAAGGAGGTTTGTTTGTGAAAGGACCAGAAATATCACAGATTTTATGATGATAGTTTGCTTTAATGTATGCTGACCTAGATTGTCTGCAATTTGACAACCATTCTGTTTTGTATAGAAGTTCTCAGACTTCAGTTTCTTCCTGGATATGTCATCTTCTGACTGTTATTTGTGTTGGGAAACTGCAGTGTTTCTCAGAATTTCCATGATTCCACATTAGATTTTTATCACGACATATTTCTAATGTGAATGTCATTAGTACTATGGCCAGAGCTATTACCTCTGTGATGTAAATACTTAGATTTATTTCTAGTTATAGAAATAAATTTCATGCCTGTGTCTCTAAGATACCACTGTCTCTTTCCGGAAACTCTTCCAGCTGTCTTTTCAGATACTTCATGTCTAGCTTGTTTTTCCACTCAAGCCTCTATTACCTTTGTCATTGGTACAAGAATGATGATGGTGCCACATATTGTGATAACAACTTTGACTCCTGCCTTTCTTCCTTCCACTTAGGTTCAAGCAGGACACAAATCACGTGTCACAATTCTCATTCATGATTGTTAAATGCTTATTTATGTCTGCTCCTGTAACTGCTGTTTACGTGACCATGTGCAGCTCAGTTGTCTTTGGTCATTTCTGCCCTTATCTAGACATCTTCTGTGTGAGTTTTACTTTCTTTAGCCCCTGTCACCTATAGTTCCTAACCGTACTCCTTTGTTGACAACAGAACAAATGTGAATTTATCTCCTTAGCCAATCTTTGCTTAATTTCAATCTGCTGTTTTTGAGATAACTTTTAGTTCTGCAGCCATAAGATGAAGTTTCTTTTAAAATATAATTCTAAAGATAACATGGAACACATACCCTTTATATTTTTTGATGAAGAGTGCTTTCTGTTCGTTTTCTACCATAGAGCTGTCAGCAGCTTTTGAGTTTCTTGCTGATTTTGCAGATTTTTTTTCTGGGAGGATTTAAATAGCTTTAAATACAGGAGAATAACCCCCCAAGTTTATTAAGGTCTGACAACAAACTGTGTAATCCTGATGCATTGTTCTGTCAATCCCTTAATCTGAGAAAAAATTCAGAATTTTTACAAAGCCTTTTTTACATTGCTAATTAAAGAAAATAAGATTTTTAAGCCTTTTATTTGATCATTTCTTATTGGTTGCTAATTGCTCGTTTTTGTGATAATCATGATAGATTTTCACTCATAGTTTTTTGAGAGAAAGCAGGTTATTAAAGATCTAAATTTTTAATTTATGGCATCCTTTAAATTGTCTTATTGTATAAGGTAAGTCTGTTGTGGTTGGAATTTTTTATTTCTACCTTCCTTCAAAATGTTTCTAAACCTGTATATGTGAATATGGCTGGCTGTCAGATTAAATCCTACTTTTGTAAATCATTTTTTACATTGTATTAGTAGAGGTAGAGGTTTCAGTTACAAAGAGTAATTGAACTATGTTCAAGAACAAATACTGTGTTCTTGTTTGGTTTATCTCTATGACAGCATTTGCTGCACTAGTTTCTGTATCTCTAGGTAGTCCATTTTCTAATTCTATTTGGAAGTTTAAGAGTAAAAGCAAGAAATTATTTATTTGTTTTAAATAAAGACATGTAATTTCCAGAGTTATTAAAATTAGCAAAAGGCAGGAGCTGCTATTAAACCTAACTTTGTATTTAATTTTAACAGTAGTTCAGATTAAATATACACCTAAATAATATTCACAGCATTTAGTACCTTTTTTTAATTAAGTGATTGAGATAAAGTTGAACTATCCGCAGGGCAGATTTCACAGTTTTTGTGTAGATTTTGTGGTTTGGGTTTTTTTGAGCACTTCTTGAAATGAAGATAATTTTATTATGTTGTGGGTTTTGTGCACGTTAGCTCTGACACCATCTTCGGTTTGTTTACACTGTGATTCATATGCAATTTATCTATCTTGAATGAATGGAACATAGTCTCAGATTTTTGTTTTCATATTTTGCAATTAGTGTACAGTTACCAGACTCTGAAGTTTACAAACCTGAAAATTCACTTTGGAAGACTTGTCAAGTTAGAACACTTTTCTTGTATAATACATGATGTGTAATTTTTTTGAGCAATGTTTTTCAAACTACGGTGATTGAGAATGTGCTCTTTTTTTTTTTTTTCCCCCTGTATGCAGCTGTCTTAAGCTAAGGGAATATATGAAGTAGGAGACTATTTTTGTTCCCTCATTGCAATTATGAGGTACAAAGTTCCTGGAATAATTTAGAATTCAGTAAAAGATTTTACTGAAAAGGCCTCTCAGTGATTTAATCTCTGGTTTGCCCTTACACCTTCTCACTTTATATCTGTCTTCTGTGTGGCAGCTGTTTGCAACAGTCTTCCTAATGATGAGTTATTACTCCTTTGTTATTTAATTTCTTTTCCATTAAACTAAGCATCTGTATGTCTACATTGTGAGCCTCAATCTGTTCATGAAGACAAGAAAGATAAATTAGTTCTGAAGACATTGATGTAGTGGATTATTACATGATTTCATAGTATCAATTATGTGTCTGGTAACCATGCTATAAGTGTTTCCTTTGTTACTTCCAAGCATCTATGAATCGTAATGATATTTATATACAATGATAAGTATGATTATGGATATTCCATTGAGAGTTTTGCCAGCCAACATCTGGTTTTGTTATGGTCCTGTACAGGAACAAAGCAAAATACTGAGTGGTTAGAATATTTTAAAATACAATATTCAATGTATTTCTTAAATGATGTGGTTTTATGGAAAACAGGATTCTACAAGCTGTTGGATGTTCCCTTTAAAGGGAGAGATTCATTTAAACATTAATTCAGAAAATTTTAAGTGAATGGGTGCTTCCAGTGTTAAAGAATCTTACGAAAATATTTTGTATGTTAATAATTGAAGTACTAGCTGAAAATGCAAAAAGGTGATGTAGACTTTAAGTCAACCAGCTGCATCTTCTGAGGTCATAGAGATAACTTGTCCTCCCATGAGGAGAAGAAATAAAAGTCCTAAATTTAGCAAGTTACCTCTTTGAAGATAAAATTGATCTGCTGATTAACTTGTTTTCCTGTTCAGATAAAGCTTTTCAAACTTTAAAAAAAAATTATATCTCTGAAATGTGATACATAAAGTTTTTTCAGTACAATGTAGAATTTGTGAATACCAGTTCTTTGTGGTTTTGTAATTACTGGTATTTTGAGTGTTTTAAGAAATCTTTGTATTAGTAGGTGATTTTTGCTAAGTTTTGGTGTGATGGAATAGTCTCTGTATTTTTCAAAGTACCAAAAGAAAGTTCAGTCAAGTGTGTTTCTTTGAAAAAGAAGCGTATTACAATGTAAATGCATTTCCAAAATCTAAAAGCTTTGTATTTTTAATGAAAGTAAACTGCATTTCATTGACAATTAAATAATAGATGCATCATGTAACTTTATAAACTGTTTGATTCAGCCAAGTTGAAAAAAACTGTAACAACACTTTTTTAACCTGTTGAATCTTACCCATCTGCTTTGCTTTATATTGGTGCTACATGTTTGTAAATACTGTCCTACCATTTTGAGGGGGAGGTATTTTTGAAAGTTGAAGAAGGAAGTTAAAAGGCTGTTTTCAAATTTCCTGATGATACCTTGAAACCACTTCATGGAATAATTGCAGATTTGGGAACATAACTCCACTGTATGATAACAACAATCATGCACATTATCTCAAATAAGTATTTTCTTTGTGGTGGTGCTCAACAGATAATAAAGATTTGTTTTATTATGGCTCCTGAGTTTAGACTCAATACAGTCTAGATGTCTTTATTTAAGCTGTGCAGTGTGCTAAATAGGCTTCTGCCCCAATCAGTGCTGTAGAATTATTCGGATTATATTCTTCCAGCATCTTTAAGGAAACTTCCTGTTTCTTTTATCCCAAAATAATGCTTATCTATTAATTTTGTTCAAATATATTATAACAAATTTTTGTAGTTATTCTAAAAATATCTTAGTGTCTTGGTGAAATGGGCAGTTTCACCAAGATGGATTGAGGAAAATGGGTTTTTAAAAAGATTTCACTTACATATTAGGATTTAATTGGCCTTTTTTTCAAACTTGTGCAAATCAGTTATAATTGTTTGCTTATGTAGTCAAGGAGTTGTAGGAACTATTGGATCCTGCTGTATGAAATTCTAAATCGTAATAGATTATGCTAGTAGCCTCATGGCCCATCATAGAAAAAAAAATAGCTATCTGTCTGCTTGGAGAAGTCTGAAATAACTATTATATTCAAACTGTGTGAAATAGGGCACTAGATTTGCCTGATATTTGTAAGATACTTTACATAGCTTGAAATAACTATTATTATAATTTTAAAGGAGCATAATTTTTATGTGCTTAGGTTTACCAAAGTTTCAATCCTAAGAGGAAATATATGTATTTATTTAAGTTTTACGTGAAGCGGCGAGTCACTTCTGTTGAACCATGTCATTTGAAAATATTTTAAAATATTTGTTTCATTACAGATGGCGGAGTTTGACACCAGTTGGACAGCCTATACCAGGAACTAGATTTATTGCATTCAAAGTACCTTTAAAAGGGGTATGTATAATAAGTAACTGCATGTTGGCTATACGAGATACAGTGCAAAAGTAATGAAGAATAGCAAATATTCATGCAAACTTCAGGAAAGTTTTATGACAAAATAATTTATTCAGATTTAGCCCTTCCAGATATCCATTAGGGTTTTTTTTTACGTAATATTCTGTATTTCTTCTCTTAAAATTTGTATTTCTTATTAACTCTTTTTATATATCTTTTAAAAATCATAAAATCTCTAATCAATCACCACAATTCATTTGATCACTATTAAGTGGCCTAAATTCATTATCTTATTTAACATCTTTTCATGACTGTTGTAAGAAAATCATATGGAAGCGGTTATAATATGAATAACAATCTAAGCAATGTAAGCCAAAATTTAATTTTATGAAAATTAAGCACTCATTAGGATACCAGCTACTGCAGTACTTTTAAAATGATAGATTCTGGTTACCAATTTCATAAGCAAAAAGCTTCAAAGATCTGGAAGATTGCAGTATATTTAAAAAATAAATTAGATTTCTTTTAGTCTTATGTTAGTACTCCCCTTAGATTCTTACTAACGTGTGCCATCTTAATCTATTAAATACAGTGAGTCAGATCTTTCAATTATTTGTGACAATACAAAATGTGGAGGCTGTCAAAAAAGACTTCAGATCTTTGGTGGATTGAGACATAGGACAAATTAGGGCAAATTTGCCCTTCTGTATAAATTAACTCTTAAAAGTTCTTGCCTCAGATACACAGAAGGTGAAAGTTTCTAAGGTCTTTTAAAGCTCAGTGGCTAGACATAACCTTAGCAGTTAAGAGTCAATATTGTGTCTAAGTTGGTGCCTACAGATTGCACTCTAGCATTCATATACAAAAAAATTGATTCTTCTGGTATATTATTGCCCATTATGTTTTCAGTCACGAGTTCACTTTTATCAGCAATAACTGAAGTGGAATGCTTGCAGGGTTTGCTTCCTGCAGCTGCTTTTACAGCTTAAGTGTGATGGTTTGGTTCCCTTGATACCAAGGATCTCATACTTTACATTGATCGTGTTCTCCACAGTGGATTGTACAATAGTTGTATGTCTTTCTACCATGACCACCAGTGAATAGATCTAGCAGTGAATATAAAATTCAGTAGATTTATAATTACCTTCTCTGATATTGGGGTATTTGAGAGAGGATTTTTTGCATCATCAGCTCTTGTAATTTCATGTGATCCAGCACCAATTTTTTGCATAGATGCACTATTTGAGGCAGGATTTGTTCAGTGCCTCTATGTTCCCTGTCACTTCAGATTTCAGAGGAAGATACTTTGTTGCTACCTTTACTCTTTCCTTGTAGCTCCTGTGATAGTCTGGAAGGAGCTCCACCAGAGATCATAAAAAGGGAAGACATTCTCAGGGAATGTTTATAGCAGTGTAATACATGTAGGCACTCTTTGTCAGTGTGTTGCTCACTGGGGTATAGATCTCCCTGTCCCCTGAAACTCTCTTTGAACTTGGCCAGATAAAAAGTCTGGTAATGAAGAAAGCAAAATCTGTAACATTTCTGTCCCTTCAATTTTGTTCAGTCTCAATTATGCAAGATACAGAAATTACAAGTCTGCCAGAGACTGTGCTTGAAGCTCATGGAGTTTGTGGTGGAATCCACATAAAATACGTAACTGGCTAAACTGTGATGTCTTTACTGATGGTGGAAGTCAGTAAATCTGTCTGGAAATGCTGAAGACCTGATTGGTCATAGTCTGTCAGAAGTCCTATTATTAACTGGTGGAACAGACATCTTAAATATGCAGCAGTTTCCTTCTTTGCTACCTATTAGGAAATTGATGATCAGTGATTTCACCCAAAGGGAGAAGACATATTTTCAGTAGTTCAAGACTCAAGGGTTATTGTTTCAGCAGAAGATCATGGGTTTACTTGGAAGTATTTTCTGTCCTTCCTTTCAGATCATCCTTCTAATGCTAACAGTAACATTGTAGCATAGTAAGGACTGGGCATGTTCTATCCCATGCCATTAGAAGGGTTTTAGAATTGATACAGATTTGTCACATTCTCAAAGCCAAATTAAGCAACTAAACTATGAATACTCAGCAGTAGTCTTTCAGAAAATTCCAAATAGTCTTTCAAAACAGTGTTTCATAACACATTTAACTGTTCACTCAATCAAGCCATATATTTATAGATACCTTATTTTTGTAAATTGTATTCCACCTAAGTTTGTGTGACTTCACATAGTAAAAGGAAAAATTCTTTAATTTTCTACTACAGACCTTTTGCAGATTCACTATTGTCACCTCAAAGTTAGTAAGTTCAGTTTCAGGTTTTACTAAAAGTCAGTGCTGAATAGCAGTGAGATAACTGACTCATGATCATTTTGTTTGAACCTCAACAGCAACCAACTGTTTTTTCAGCAGTGCACCAGTATCTGAAATACATATACTGAATACTTCTATATGCTTTCTATGCTACTCTTTTTAGCTCAAGCCTCATAATCACATACCAGCTTTGATAGGACTGTCCTGCTCTTTGTTCTTTAATTTGGTTTCCTATCTCTGTTTCCAGATTTAAGTGCTTGCTAGCATTTTAGATTATAATCTGTACAGTGGTTAGTTACCCTGTAGCATCTGTGGTTCTAAGAGGTATGTGGTCTGTGGCTGCCTTATTTTCCATTAGTTCTGAGTCCAGTCTGCTTGAATTTCTTGTTGACAAAGGAACTGAGAGGTGGTTGAGGCTGCTTCATCTTTTGCCACTGTCTTTATTGGTTGTGGCTGAGCCTGTGTCAAAAGGCTCTCACAATGGACAAGCACACTATTCAGAGAAAATCTGGTCTTGTACATATGAGGCGTTTTCATACCTAGAGTGAAGAACGAATTTCAAAAACCACAGCTACAATAGGGTGAGTAAACATTTTTCCCACTGTTTCTGTGAAATTAAATTAATTATTCATTACCCACCAACATGCAGCTTTCTTAGTCACCATATTTTAGTCTTATTTAATATTTCCTAGTGCTAAATGACTTGCAAGTACACTCTGCCAAGAGATGAAATAGGGACAAAGATGTCTGCACAACTTTTGTGTGGGGAAAGTTAAAACCTATAGAAGAAATGAACTCTTGTATCACAATTTCTAATGTTTTATGTGAAATAGACTGTTAATTTTGTGTTACTGTGCAGGAGAAAGTATGCTTGGAGGAAAGCGGATTGTGGTGTTTTGCTTTTTCGTGATGTTTAGTAAATCAGTATATACATGCTGCATTTTGCAGGATTTTCATGTCTATCTAATTAGTGCTTATTTCAATAATGTTTGTTAACATTGTACAAATGGAAGTTCTCACACATTTTCTTGCATTTTCATCTGAGGAGGAATACACAACAAATTCTTGCTTTCTTTTTATCTGGTACTTTTTATCCATGTATACATGAATATGGTTCTCATACTGTAAAAATTCCCTTTTGAATACTGATGTTTCCTAGTCTTAATTAAAACAGCTGAATGTTACAAATATCTTGTTATTGGAGCTTAAAAAGAAAATTTTTCTTTTCCATTTTCATTTTAGGCAATTAACCAGAGGCTTACTCCAACCCAGAAATTTACACCAAAAGACTTAATTGTGGCAATGAAAGCCCTAAATGTGGAGCTTGGACTAATTATTGATTTGACATATACTACACGATACTATGAAGTTAAGGTAATATAAGTATAATAACAAAATAAAATAGTTATTTGTCTTAAAGTATTTACACATTGCTTACCTTGAATTGGAATAGACAGGTGACCTATCTTGGCTTATTTTGTGTCTCCAATAGAAGCTAGCTAAATGTTTTATTGAAGAGGAAGTATCTTATTCTCCCAGCTAGTTGCATTTGTGGCTTATTTGTATTATGGTAACTCAAAGTAATGGATAAAGACTTAAGTGCCAGGCACCACAGGAAAGATGCAGAAGACTTATACAGTCCATGTCCTGAAGACATTCTTATTTATTCCTAGTGTCTTTTATTACTGATTTTGAATGGAATCCACCAAGAAAGTGTACAGTGTTAAACTACATTACCAATTTCAATTTTTTTACCAGTATGGTCCAAACAATTGTGATTAATCAGCTTCCTACTGAAAAGGAGAAAAAATAGTCTTAAAACTGAATGCTAATCTTTGAAGGTACATGAGCTGTAAGCATTAAGGGCATGAATATATGAGTATATATGTGACTGTGGGTGGGAGGGACAAATATTGCTAATAATTGTAAAATGAGTTAGAATGGAATTACAAGAATCTGCTCTCTTTAGTTAATGTGCTGCCTTATTAGCAGGAATAAATAAGTATTCTGTGGAAACTGTTCTTTGTTTGAGATCAGGTCTTTAAAGTGGAAATGCAAATGGTTGTTTCTGAGAGTGTATCTGCATAGGATTGTGTCAAGTTTGTTTTTAGTTTCTGCTCAGGATTTGAAGTAATGTTCTACATTGGCATTATGCTTGGTACTGCTTAAGGTTTTTCATTGATGCAAGACTTCAATAATTTTACCATATTTTTTCTTCTTGTTGTTAGGATTTACCTAAAAGTGTGCAGTATAAGAAACTTTATACTGTTGGACTCGAAGTCCCCGATAATGCTACTATCCTACAGTTCAAAAAATGGGTCAGAAAATTCTTATGGGAAAATGCAGAAAATGGTAAATATCAGCTTCTTATGCTGTAATAAAACAAAAATTCTACTTCAGTACTAGTTGTATCATTTAGTAAGTTCAACAAATACTTATGACACCAGGGATCTAGTGTCCGTTGCACTTTCCATGTTATTACCATAATAAAATACATTATGTGAACCACATATCTTTTTCATATTCAAAACATGTTTTTTTCAGAAATGGCTAGTAACTTAAAATGCCCTTCCTAATAGTGTAATTACATTTGTGTGATGTGTCAAAGCAACTGCATCAAGGCTTTCATCTGTCTGACCCAAATTGTCTACCATCAGCTTAGTGTTGTAGCTGCCAGATCTTTATGGATGTTCTGAATAGCACAGGGTTTCTCTGATGGCATTAGGCAATGATATGGGTGAGCAACTTAAGTCTGTTCAGTCTGATGTAGCAGTTTTTTGATTTATGAGTCCATTATTGCCCTCATATCCTAGCAATTCTTAAAAATCATATTACAGACACAGTGTCAGTGTTTCCACAGTGTGGTTCTGCTGCTGTTTTAGTGTTTATGCAATACTACAGTTCTTGCTGAAATAAGTTTCTTGGTATAAGGCACTTTTGCAGAAATAAATTTGCATGTATTTTGCCACAGCCTGTTTGCAGCTTTTACCTACTTACTTTTTTTGCTAGTGATTCTTTGTAGGCAGATTTTAACTGTTTGTCTATCATACTGGAGGACCATTCTTTCAAGCTTTTTCATGCTATTTGTGGTGGTTGCTTTGGCATTTTCTATGAGAAAGTAGAGATATGAACTGCCCAGGTGCATACAGTTTTTGCTGCAGAGCATCACTGTGGTTTTGCTGTGGATGGTCAATTCTGTTTTGTGAAAGAGCTCTGACCTAAATCTCAGGTATGAGAGCCTGAATTAGAAGTGCTGGAAAATTTAAAAGATATAAGAAGAAGCCCATGTCCTTGCTCAGGAAGTCAGTGTGTAAATTCATCCTTTGCTCTTTTTTGGCTCAAGGAAATTACTTGGAGATTATTAGTTTTCTTCTAATTTTGATATAGTGATTTTTCATGGGACAAAGAATAATCTCTTATTTGAATCTAATTATTTCTAATTCTCAGAATTGAGAGAATCAATTATTAATTTGTTACTGGATGAAGACCTGCAGATCTGACTAGTGAAACCATTTTGGCAGGGCTTATGTAACTTCAGAGTTGGGAGAACTTTCATTTCTGTGTTAACTTACTCATTGTAACTTGCTCTCTCTTTTAGATTACCCCTAAAATGTCTCAGGATTCTTCTTAAAAATAATTTTTCAGAAGTTGGCTTTTTTTTAGTGTCTGAACTTACAGTAAACTTACATGGCAATGCAACTGTTGTGATCTGTGGCAAATAGTTACATTTTATCTCATTCAAAAATTTTATCAAGTCCCATTTCAAAGACCGTCTGTCTGTACTTTGTCTCTGCCACAACTTTGTTCTTCTAATGATTAAAGTTTTTCTTCTAAAATCTAGCCTAAAACTCTCAATCAGTTAATATACATTTATTCTTACGCCAACTTTGGCCTTGAGTATTGTTGTTCTCCATCTCCATTATTATATTCAGTAGCTCAGATTTGGCTTTACAGACTAAGTAGGAGAAGCTTCCTAGATACCTTCTCATACATTTCTCATGTTACCATTATAGTAGCCCTTTCTATACATATTTCAATTTGATTTTTCTTTTTTTTCATTAAACATGGGTGAGTAGAATTGTATGGGATAGTCTGGATGAGGTTTTATCAGTGCCTTGCATGACTATATTAGTGTTTCCCTATTTCTGTTAGAAATATCTCATTTGAAACAACCTAGAAATAGTAAGTTATGCTTCTTTTTTAGCCTCTAGCTGATTAGTATAACCTTTCCAAAAAAGACAAGATATTTTTAGAGATTACTGGTGCTTCTTTTCATACTCCTAGACACTGGGGGCACTATGTGTATTTTCTTTCTGTAAATTTTACAAGAATCTGTATGTTCCTCAATTTTACATTTGCTTGTTTAGATTTGCTTTCAAAACCATATTTAATTCTTTTTCTCCTGTTACTGCAGTTCTGGCTGAGGCCAGTTGCTTTACCTCTCATCACTCCTCTTTGTTATTTTCCTATGTTCTGCAGAGTTAATCTCAGTCTTCACAGGTTTGGAAGTAGTGAACTAACTGCTGCTAAAGATCCAGCATGAAGAGGACAAAGTCTGCATCTGTCTGTTCTTTTACAGACATGACAATATTAATTTTTTAAATAGCAAGCATTATTTATTGTTACTTTGTTAGAAAAAGTACAGCTTTTTTTTCTGTCTTGCTCTAATTTTTTAGTAATTTCTAAAGTCTGTGTCTTCCTTTTTGATAGAGAAACTCATTGGCGTTCACTGTACTAATGGAATTAATAGAACTGGCTACCTTATATGTAGGTAAGGGCTGTATAAAAACAGAAATCATTGTTCACAAAAGATAGTGTTTTTACTACTCTGTAATTCTTTGGGGACAATAATATAATTGTGGGGTTTTTTCAGGTATCTTATAGATGTTGAAGGCTGGGATCCAGAGGCAGCAATCCAAGGTATTTATACAGTTTGAACTAAACCACATTTCAGGTTGTAATTCACAATTACTACAACTATATTCACAATGCTACAATTCTTTTTTAGTATCTTTAGTTATTTCATGTCCTGGCTTCCATAGAAGATTTTTTTCTGACTATTGATTCTATTCCAGTCAAGATTTGAGGATTAGCAAATTATGAGCATAGTAGGAGTATGTTTCAGCTGCTTAAAATCTTTTTTCTTCCTTTTTCTTTGAGGGATTTTCAGTCATAGGTTTCTACCACTACTAGTTTCAGTTGTTTAAAAAAAATGCTGCAATGATGCCAGCTTGCTGAAGTATTTAATAAAAAGTTAGAATTGTTTCAAATTCAGCATTTCATGGTGAACAGAAACTTGCCTTTCAAGTTTTTGTGGCTCAGTTTGAGCATGCGTCATTAGACTTGTATCTTTTTATTCTTCAGCTTTTGGTGATGCTAGAGGTCATCGCATGGATGGTCTTGTGTATCTCACAGACCTCAGAACACAACCAATGAGAAGGTAAACAAAAGCTTTTAGTTGTAGGCTTAAGATTTTCCAGTATGTCTCCTGGTATTTTTAAACGTTCACTCCCAGTCATAAGCCAGAATTAACCCCGTCTTAAGACTTTAATATGCAACCATACATATATTGTAAGACTTCTGTGATGAATAACGTGAAGTGCGGTGTACTTCATTCATATTTTGAATGTATATGGTTCAAAATATTTTCATTTTAATCTGGCAACTACTATTGAATGTTGATGTGGTTTTATCATACTGTCACAAGTGTATTAATTCTGTATTCTCTCATTATAAACTGAAAGGAGCTGCTGCAAAGATATCTTTATAAGCTCTACGATCTGCTGGTTTTGATACTTAAAAAAAGCAGAACAGTGGAAACTGGAAGATTGTTCTCAGCTCCTCTGTTCATAGTAGTTGTATCCCTGGTTTGTAAGAATTTTATCCTTATCACATTCACCAAAGAACAGCTAACCTTTATACCTTCCTAAATTATTTGTGCCTGACTGATTTGCCTCTTTTTAGATTAATTGAATGCCTTTTGTTTTACTGCTATAATTGTTTTATAGTCTGTGCATGATTAAATTAGTGCCATATCAGATTTTTGAATAGGTATGGTGTTTGTCTCACATCCTTTAGGATGTTGTTCCAAAGTTTATGAAGTTTAGGTATTCTCTTTGTTTTCACTGCAGCCCCTTCCCAAATAAATTTACAAGATTAAAATCTGCTAAATTAAGAATGTCTATAAATGTAACTTAACTTACAAAAATTTCCATTATTCTGAACTGAAGAATTTTATGTGTGGGGTTTTTTTTTTCTCTCAATAATGTTTTTAAAAACATGTGAGATGTTTTTATTATTCTTAGCAACCTTGGAATGGATGTATGGGATTCAGATGAAGATATTATTCCCCCACCACATGCAATGGAAGGACCTGTAGAGCGATTCCCAAATGAAGATTTTCAGGGGTAATAGACTGAAACATGGGATTAAAAGCCAAAAAGAACCAGAAGGGGGGGAAGATAATTGTTTCTTATTGAAAAAACTGTAGATAGTCGAATTTAAGAGACTTTATGAATATAGCCTACTCATGCAAAATATATTTACAGAGTTTAACCAAACAGTGAAAAGATCAGGGAAAGAAAGGAAATGTGTGCTATTAGAAGTATGTAAGTAATTATTTCACTTGGCAGAATTTAGAGTTTTACTTTGCCTGTCCTTTATTATTTTACAGTAATCTGCCATTATCTTTAATTTGGAATCTCTGGTTTTGCCTGTTCAACAAGTGCTATAGAATTACAACTGGGTATTTGACACAGCTTCTACTGACTGAAAGTTTTATAATCTTGCTAACCGTTTGGATTCTTAGTAGCTTTGATACCTATATATTTGCGATGTCTTTCATATCAATTCTTGGTTAAAAAACCTTGTTTCCATTAATGACTTGTAGCACTTAAAAGTATGATGTTCTAGTTAAAACAAAAACTTTCTTACAGGTCTGGGAAAAGATTAAGAATTTATGATGATCACTGTCATGATGATTTGCAAGGACAGATACAGTTGAGAGATTTTGATTTCATTAATAAGGGACCTGGACAAAGACGAAGACCATTTCATGACCATCAGACTCAGGATGATTTAAGAGCACCAATACAGATGAGAAATTGGGACTACAATAGGGGACCAGAACAGAGGCGAAGACCCTTTCCTGATCACCAGTTTTATGATGATTATCAAGAAGACATGCAGCCGAAGGACCTAGACTTCAGTAACAAGGGACCTGGACAGAGGCTGAGATCTTTTCATGGACACCAATTTCATGATGATATACAGGCAGAGAGACAATCGAGGGGTATTGAATTTAACAGAAGCCGTGGACAAAGGCAGAGATCTTTTCCTGACCATCCGTCTCATAATGATTTGCAGGAAGACATGCGGTCCAAGGATTTTGATTTTGGTAGCAGGGGCCAGGGCCAGAGACGAAGACCATTCCATGACCACCAATCTCGTGATGAATTTCAGACTCAGATGCAGTTGAAAGAGTTCAATAGTGTCAACAAAGGTCCTGGCCAAAGACCAAGATCTTTCCATGACTATCAGTCACATGATGACTTACAGCTACAAATGCAATTGGGAGATTTCGAATTTGTTAATAGAGGTCGTGGGCAGAGGTTGAGACCTTTCAATGATCACCAGCCTCGCAATGACTTACAAACAGAGATGCAACTAAAAGATTATGATAATAAAGGTCCTGGACAAAGGCGCAGACCTTTCCATGACCATCAGCCTTACAATGACTTACAGGAACAGACTCAGTTAAAAGATTATGTTAACAAAGGGCATGGACAAAGGCCAAGACCTATTCATGAACATCCAGGTCACAATGACTTGCCACGTGAATGGTGTTCAGACAGGTAAAGCATCCTTGAGCTTTAGAGAATAAAAGTGTAAACCTCAGTGCTTTTAAATAAAACTTAAAATGAATTATTTTTTTTAAATAAATTATTTTTAAATCAATTATTCATCCTTTTAAGATTATATATAAATGATCAGTTAATTAACTTCTTTTGATTTATAAAAGGGTTTAATGTGTGTTGGAATGTTGCAGCTTTGAAAGCCAATGTTTCCTAAATTAGAAGGTTGTGCTTCTTCAACGCTTATGTGTTTCCTTTCCTTTTTAGAGTGAGCTTGAAACAAGGCTCTTTGTCCTATTCTGTTTTGTATAGAAACTTATATTTAAAAAGCAGTCCTCAAGACAGAAAAGGATATGAAATTTTATTTATGTCCTCAGCTAAACAGAGATAAACAGTAACACTACAAGGAAGTTTGACTTGGATTTGTTTATTCCATGAGTTAATAACTTGTTAGAAATCCCTTTGCTTCTGAACTTGTATCGTACTCTCCCAAATACATGTATCACTTATTAGTAAACCTATTGGATTCTGACATATTTTAAATTATTTTGAATCTTTCAGCAGGTATTTCAGATAGTTGTTGGGCTAGTAAAGTTCAATTTAATTTCTTCCATTGTGCATCATTACACTGAAGCATACCATTTTGAGGTGTTAATACAATTAAGATAGTTTTAATTAAAATTTTAAGTAAATTTTACTTAAAAGTAAAAATATTTTTATTTCGTTTGATAAACACATATTTTTAAAAAGATTGCAACCATTAGTATTCTTCTTAATGTGTTATTCTTTTGGTTATTTGCAGAAATCAGTCTTTTTCTTCCCACGAAAATATACCAGAACCTCATTTCTCCTCATCTTCTTCACTTCACAGAGATTATGGGTCTGATAATGACGACTTTAACAGAAGTTATAGGTAGATATCAGATTTCATACATTGTTTTTTTCTGACAACCTTCTTACTGTTACTCACCCAGTTTCCCAGCTAAAAAATACAAATTAACTGCACAGTGCAAAAATCGATGTTAGTATTTTTGCTTAAATGCAGTTTAAACCATTGAATCTGAACACTGAGCAGATGTCATGGTTTAAACCTGGCCAGCAGGCAAACACCATGCAGCCACTTGCTTGCCCTCCCCCACACCTGGTGAATGGGGGAGAAAGTTGGAGGGGTAAGAGTAAGGAGACTTGTGGGTTGAGATAGAAACAATTTATTAATTGAATTAAAATAATAGTAACAATAGAAAACACAAACAAGTAATACAGAATGTGATTGCTTACCATCCACTGGCTGATGCCCAGTCTATTCCTAGCTAGTAATCCCAGAGAAGAGAGAATCCTGAAACCACAATCCCAGAAAACAAAGTGAGCTTCCCAATCAACTCTGAGATAGATAGATATAGATATAGATATAGATATAAAAAATATCTATGTAATGAGCATGAAAAAAAAAATTAGCTCCATCCCAGCTGAAACCAGGACAGCAGATGTGACTGATTTGTGGTCCATGTATATTGAGTGTGATTATGAAATGGCTTGAGAATCCCTGATATTAAGTTATTGACATGACAAGCACAGTTCAAGCTAACATACTACAAAATATGAAAAGCTATTGTTAGTAACCCAAAAAGAAAAATACACATGCTATATTTAACTCTTAACTGCTGTCTGCAAGCTAATGAGTTATACAGTGAGGGATGGTGAGACACTGAAACAGGTTGCCCAGAGCAGCAGTGAAATCCCATCCTTTGAGATACCAAAACTCAGCTGGACATGGCCCCTGCACAAACTCATCTAATTAGACCTATTTTGAGCAGGTGACCTTAGGTAGTTCTAGAGATCCTTTCCAGTTTAAATGCATCTGTGGTTCAGTGAGGGAGAAGATTTTTAAATTATAACAATTGTTCTGGAGTGGCTTTATACACAACTTACTTTACAAAGTAAGGAAGGTACTTGAGAGTAAAGAGAATCCAGAACAAAAAATATATATATATCATATATGCATTTTTAGATCCTTCCATAAGTGTTTGTAGGAGAGTCTTCTATTGCAGAAGAATTAATAATTAAAATATTTAGAGCTATAAATCAAAACTACATTATTGTCTGTTGAGACTGTGTGCTAGAGAGCTATTATTACGTATTATTCACAAAAATGAAAACATGGGCTTAGGAAGAAAAATGGCCCTGAGTGGAAGAAACCCTCAGTCAATAGGGAATTGTAATTAGAAACAGCACTTGAAACAAAACATCTTCTAGTAGAATTACTTACTATGAGGAGCTGTAATTTTAATCACTAGAATTGAAAAATTAATATAAACCAGTTTGCAACATTGAGTAGAGAGGATTTTAATTTTAGGAGGTAAAAACAACGAGGGTCTGAATTGTTCTTTCAAGGTTACACAAGTTTTAATTTCTAATGGTGACCACCAACAATAAATCCACTGTAATTTCTAAGGATTTCACTGTTCATATTTGTTCTTCTTACAGTAATCGACCAAATTGTCCTGAAGACAATAGGAGAATGCATCCCTCAGATGAATTTAACAGAGGAAAAAACAGATTTGCACCATATTCTTCACGAACAATGCATCCATCTTCATCTGTACACCAAGAAAATAGTTCAATAGACTATGAAAGAAAACCTTTTCAAGGTGAAGCTACCAGAGAGATGGAACAAAGCAAAAGATTACCAGTTGTAACAGTTGATTACAATTATGGTCTGCCATTAGATTATGGACCTGAAGAGGAAGAGAGAACACATTATGATTTACCCCCAAGAGACTGCTACAACTGGAACTGAATAAACAGGAGAATGTTTGCTCATCTTACTCTTAATTTTTTCCATTTTACTTTGTATGTGGACCTTTTTTTTCCTTTTTTTTTTTTTTTTTTTTTTAAGCAAATTAAGAAAATGCAAATTCCAATAGTAGAGAACTGGTCTCTATTGTAAAATTAGCTTCTACTGATGTTTGGTTCTTCAAATTTATTAGGGTGCATTTGTTAAGTGTAGTTGGAGACAAGGTCTCAGTACACATGGAACTAAAGTAGTCCTTCCTTTTAATGAAATTGAAACCCCATACCTTAAAACAAACAACTTGCAGAGTGATTGTAGTTGTGTCTTTCGTTTTACATTTCTTTAAAATGTATGTAATTTCCTGATGCAAAAGTCATAATAAAATACTGCACTATCAGACAGACTAGCATTGAGATTATAGAAAAAATACTATGAAATGAATGAAGCAAAGTTATGTCCACTTCATCCTTTAATTTAAAAACAGCAGTTTGAATTACTGCTAAGAATCTCTGCAGCATTTCAGTTTAATTCCAGATTTTCTGTACCATCAACTGAACTGACGTAATTGCACTCTTTTTTCATGGAAGAATTCTTCCTAGATTGCTAAGTATGCAAAAGCAAATGGAGTTTGAATATTCTAAATGTCAAACTTGCTTTTCAGTAATCTGAATATCCCATCCTGATTGTGTATTTTTTCTTGATCCTATAGGTTATATATGTTTCAGAATAGCCCAGTGCAGGTAAATTTTACAATTTTCTCAGCAACACACCCAAATGAGGTATCTCATGTATTATCATACCATTACCTGTCTCAACTGGCCAACATCACTGGTGCCTGTATACTTACACTTCCTAGTTTTTCAGTCATACCTGTCTTACTCTCCAGTTCTACTTTTCACTAGTTTCTTTTTACAGCACAGAAGAGGAATGTAATCAGAATAGAAGAATAACCTCTTCAGGTAAGTTACTTTTAAGAATCATGTATTGAACAGTCTCCTCTGAACTGCCACTTCAGTGGGTCTCAGTAAGGTAGTGCAACAAACAGTAACTGAATTCATGCCAGCAGCTGCACAGTAGCACCAACAGCTCCTACTGTAGATAAAGAAATCTTAGTTCATAGGATGGAAAACAGTATTAAAGTAATACTTAGGCAAATTTTTCAAATTATATTTTTCATTATTACTACATTTTAATTCATATTTTTGAAAGGAATCATGGTAAATAAGGATAAAGCGAGACCATGATATCAAAATAAACAGTTAAAATGAATGCTAGATACTTAGGCAGTTCAGAAACTGCCTTAAAAGCAGCATAGTTGTAAAGCATAAAGAAAGAGGGTGTAGGTATATACTAGAAAACTGAAAAAAAAGGGGTTGTAGCTGGAACCCACATATTTTTTTTGCCTTTCAGGAGCAGCGTAAGATTTCTGAATTTGTGGTTCTATGACTACTTAAATAAGGGCTAGATTTAAAAGTGTGGAACATCTGTCAATCTGTTGCTTTGTATCACATGCAAAAAGTTCCCCAAATCAAAAGATTCTATGGATATAAATTCAAACTGCAAATGCTTCACTGCCTTTCCAACTGGTAGAACAGCTTTGGCTTTGTTCACTGCAGAAAGTAAACAGTTTTCTCATTTTCACAGCAGCTAGTCAATTGTATTTCCCATTAAATCTGATTGTGAGTCTCATTCATGTGGTCTCAGGAATGAAACTCTATATAAATTGGTTATGGAACTGAGCACTAGATGTTAAGGAAAGGCATTTGTTCTTTCACTTGCCTTTTTTTTTTTTTTAATTTTATTTAAATGAGAGGTAAGCTGACAATCTTTATCTACGCTTCTTAATTTGGAAGCAGGGGAGATCTGCAACATAGATTGCCAGATTCTAAAAAAAAACCCATCCCTTCCTGGTATTCTGGTATTACAAGCATTTGGGGGTTTTTTTTATACTATATATGCAGTATTCATGAAGTGAATAAAGAGCAAAAAAGTGCTCTTTGCAGTTTTGTTCTGGGGGTTGAATTGTTTTTTAGGATTGAAGTGACCCTACAGCCAATCCTGTGTTACTTTATACTGGGGGTAGTAGGACTCCATGGAGAGCTGAAAAGCTGGTGCATTAGAAAGCACAGTGCAAAGAGAAATGTGACATAAGAAGTCATGATCAGCAGTAGCTGTTAACCAGGTCAGCTCTTGCAGGACGCTTTGAGACTCAGATGGTTTAATTCCTGTTATCCGACAAAGTAAACATCACTTTCCTAACTATGTTGGATTTCTCTTTTCAAGTAAAATTAATAGACGTGATGTTTTCACAGATGGCTTTGAGATGACTATATAAAGGTAGCCAAAGTTGAGTTTGTATATTTACTACTTTTTAGAATTTAGGACAAGGCTTTCCACCCTATTGTTCCTAATAGAATTAGGCAGAGCTAAACCCACATAATACATTATAAACTGTTACTGACATTTATCTCAAATTCCATAGCTGAGTCATCACTGCATATCTGCATCTGTAGTAGTCAATTACTAATTGATCCACATGGTGGAGAATGAAATTAAATGCGCTTTTTTTTTTAACTGACTATTGTATTACAGTGGCATTCATTTAAAAAATCACACAAAAAAGCCCCAACAATTTTACTTATTTCACAGTTCTACAAAAAAGTCATAATAATCTTGTTGGCTTTTTGTGTGTGTGTTCTCAGCAAACCTAGAAATAGCTGTTGTTCTATCACAGAGCAATAAAAAGCAAGGTTTGGATAGTCAGGGTTGGTTTCCCACTGTCCTGAGTGTGTAATCTTGAAGAAAAACATAGAAAATCCAGAGGTAGCACAAAATTATTTGAAGTTCTAAGAGTTTTATAACTATTGAACTCTGAACTCAGAGAAAACTTCTTTTTTTGTTGCTGTCCTGAAGTCATGATTTAATTGGAGGCCTGATTTTTGTTGGGTGGTGAAGCCATGGGGTCAACTCACCCTGAGATATGGTCATATTGAGTTAGGAAATGTTCAGGTGGTTCCGGGAAAGTGCTGGGAGAAAGTTAAGATGAGCTCCATGCAGAAGGCTGATTCCCAAGAAGAACTTAGGAGAAAGAGAGGTCAGCTCCAGCAGAAAACTAGAACACAGGGATACAACTAAATTTATATGTAGAATTCTGCATTACATGTACAGCCAATTCAGTTTTGCATGTGAAGAATAAACAGTTATCTAAAAAAGGGCTAGAAAGGCATCTCACTACTTTTCTCACAGCTGGGGCAAAAGGTAAATGACCTACAAAGAACCACAAGTACAATTAGGTTCCTTTCCCATTTATTTGCATCTAAAGTAACTTCTAGCAAGCTTCAGGCTTTTTTACATGTGCAAAAGTGAACATTGATGTGTTATGATTCAAATTTAGGGTGCACTACTACAACCAGTGTGCTGGGGCCAGTGGTTAAATGACCTGAGCACTAGCTTCTGAAGATCAGTTCCTCCTTAAATTGTCTCATGTGAGGCATCCAGAAAAGCAGACACTCAAAGATCGTCTGTGGTTTAGAATCTGCTCAGTGCTGGGGAAAGAAGGGATGTATTCCCTGTCTGGTGTTCAGCAAGGGGATATGAATCCCTGACCACTGTGAACAGCAGTTTATTGAAAACGTGTGTGCAAACAAAAAGCAATAGCTTCCATGTTGTTATCAACCACTAGTGTTTGCTTCCTCTCCAGGCTGACTATTACTTGCTCCACTTGTCAGCAGACTGTGCTTTACTGGTTCCAGTGGACAATTACCAGACCTGCAGATCTCTTCCTCCTTCTTGTGGGGAGCCAGAAAAAACAGATGACAAAAAAGGAACAAGGTGAGGAGGCAACTTAGTTCTGCTTCCTCCTGAGGTGAGAATACCATGGGTACATGGGAAAGGGAGGACAAAAAAAAAATATTTTAGAAGAATGAAGGAGGAGAGAAAATGAAAATTAAAATGTCAGGAGGAGAGAGTTATCAGTGTGAGGAAAGAAATGTGCACAAGATGCATGTGTAAAAAGCTGGTGAAAGATTACTGAATATGCTGGAGGAGGAGTTCCTGGCAACTTCTTATCTGGGTCTTCTAAGCGGTGCCTGTGGCTCTGCGTGCGCCATGCAGATGTAAATAACAGTTATCAAAAACATACAGGAGCACTCAGACCTCTAATCCTGCAGTAAAGTCATGCAGGATCTTAAAACTAATTAAGGCTTCCTTTTAAGCTTTAAATCTAGTCTATGTGTAGTATAATATCCTGAAGATACTCCCTGTAGAATCCAAAGAGCATTTCAGACAATCAAGTAAGAAACTACTCCACAAATGTGTTTCACACATTGAAAAAAAGCTAGGTTTTTACTGCATATGAGGAATGCTATCATTGAGGAATCTGAGAATCAAATCCAATTTGTTTATTACAAATACATACCTGTTTTATTGCATGCTTTTAGGACAGTTATCAAAACACTGTAGTGTTGCTATTACTGTACCCATCACACAAAACTTACAGTTATGAAGTGTAACAAACAAATCTGAAGTAACTGCCTCTGCAAAAAGTACAACAAGCAACTCGATGCAGAATCACACTGAAAACAGGAGACATTTTCTTCCTTTATGAGGAACATTCAGGACAGAATGTTCCAGAAAGTAAGATGAAAGGCCAAAAGATAGATAAACTTAAAAGTTGACATGGATAAGGATGATCCTTATGCAGTTCTTCAAAGGATCTCTTCTAACATAAACAGAAGTTTTTACTTTGTGAGATATACTACCAAACAGAAGCAAAATTAACCCTTTAAGGAGAAGATAAGAGAGTACAAACTATTGTTGATACCCGTTAATCACATCTCAATCCCTTTTGGGTATGCACATAGTAAACAAAGTGTAAACTGGTTGTTTCAAAATTAATGCAGTTCATTCATCCTTATCCGCACACCCCAGATGAAAAATGGGACCACCATATCCTGGTATCTGCATCCTGTTGGACCTATTTAATAGTGATTCTGGTATATAGTGAATGGTAAACTCTGATTTTCAGAAGTTACACACCATAAATCTTTAATGGGCCTAAAATATATCCTGTGTTTACAAATTAAAATAAAAACATTATTTCCTATCATTTAATATAGCAGTTATACTAAAGTATATAGAGAGCAAAGGATGTGTTCACCAGACTTGTTTTTAAATCTAATTTAAACTCATTAACTGTAGCAGAACTTGTGATGATGGCTACAGATTAGCTTTCTTTTCTATCTTTGAAAAGCAACAGCTTTTGGAAAGAGCTAGACTAGATGTGAAACCTCTGGCCCTGTTTATTCAGCATTATAGTGTGTTTCTGAATCCTTATGTCCCTGATGACAGAGGTGCTTTTCTATTTATGCTCTTTGTATTCAGTTTGTGCACACTGGA